TTGTCATTGTTTTTCTTTTGAAAGTACCAACTCTGTGCTAAGGTGGGCTTTAAAGCCTGGCTGAAATGTTTCAGAATATCACCTTTATAAATGTCTGGAGTTAGTTAATAAAGGCCTTTGAAAATAATAGTTTGGAAATCAGCCTGAAATATTATAAAAATAATAAATGGGTAATTGGTGTTTTTTTATTAATATTATTTTTAATTTGTTTAAAAGGTTGCTCGAGCTTCAGAGCAAGTTTAGCCAGATGAGTTTTCTCACCTCCATCCATCCATCATCTTTACCCACTTCTTCCTGTTTGGGTCACAGGGTCACACTGGTGTCCAGGAAACTGGAGTACCTGGAGAAAACCCACGCATGCACGGAGAGAACATATGTACTCCACCCTGTTAAAACAAAATCTTGTTGTTTGTGGGGAGATTAGATTATAGCTCATTTTGTCTGTATGTTGTACCATGGGCAGCACGGTGGCGCAACTGGCAGAGCTGCTGCCTCTCAGCAAGCAGGTCCCTGGTTCAAATCCCGGTCCGGGGGCCTTTCTGGGTGGAGTTTGCATGTTCTCTCTGTGCATGCCTGGGTTTTCTCCGGGTATTCCGGTTTCCTCCCACATACCTAAAACATGCACGTTAGACTGATTGGTCTCCTTTGTCTCTATGTGTCCCTGTGATGGACTGGAGACCTGTCCAGGGTGTACCCCACCCCTCGCACAGTGATTGCCGGACATGGGCACCGGTGACCCAAAATGGAAGAAGCAGGTAAAAGATAACGGATGGATGGATGTTGTTCCGCTAGCAAAAGTCTCAGCACTATTCCTGACTGAGCCGCACATTATGACAGATTATAAACTTAACAAACTAAAGCTGTGACACAAACCAAAGAGAATAGTAATAAGGGGCGTCAGTGGTTACCAGTAACACCCTTTTAATGAAATCTAACTGTAGCCAACTCCAGTACCTCAGGTGAAATGATGTCACAGTTGTTACAAGTTTATCAATAATTTGATCTGAAATTGTTTGACTGCAGACTCCAGACCAAATATTTAAAGTTGCCTCTTAAGGCTGTGAGACTTTCCTAATTATTTAACATGTAAAAATCCTACGTGATAACAACTATTCTTCACATTTGTATGAAATAACATGAATCAAAAGTGATTATTAAAACTATTGCACAGTATTTAAAATAATAATTTACGAAAAGGTTTCTGGGTTAATGAATTATATTCTCTTGCCTTGGTGATATGTGACTTGTCTGTGCTGCTGATTATCCATGCTGCTGATCTCATGCTGCTGATTATCCATGCTGCTGATCTCCTGCCTTTATGCTTCTGTATTTATTCCCATCCGCTCACTGTAGACTCATGTTCGGGCTGCTGTTTAACATACCCTATTATTTTACATTATTAGCATATATCTTAGATCTTTTAGTATATTGTTTAGCGTTCGTTTAGTTTATATCTTAGATCCGTGTATACTGTTTATTTTTATACTTTATTTTATTGCTATTTTTGGGTGTAACTGGGACCTTGGGTACACAATTTTGTTCCACCTCATGTACCACATGTGATGTGAATGACAAAGAACCTTGATATAAAGGTTGCTTTTTTTTTCTGAATTAACTGGGTATTTAAGGGGATTTCTCTATGCTCATTTTTTTATTATTTTATTTTCCTTTTGAGTTAAAATTAGTTGATAATATTTGTCCACGCAGAAAACAGTTTGTGATGTTTGATATTGTCTCCCAGCTCCATATCGTCGTCTTTTCCATGGATGTGTTGAGCTTCTCCCTGTAATTGGATTTTCTCGTCAGTGACAGATGCTGCGTTCGCTTCAAGCTCGCAGGAATCCTCTGGGGTTGATTTAAATCTGCTTTAACTACAGTAAACTAATTCATCCACTCGTTATCACTTTCTGTCCTCCATCACCAAACCTCACCCAGAAGGCTTGTCTCGCCAGACGGAGAGGAAGCCATCGTTTAACCTCTGACCTCTTTGTTTAGAAATGAAAAAGAACAGGGATGACTTAGTGGCTTTAATGCAGTCTAACATTTCACATTTTCCATGTTTGTTTGTTTCTTGACTTCACTTTGTGAGCCACCTCCCAAGTGTGGGGCAGGCAGATACTGAGATTGGCCTTCATGCATTAATGACCCACTTCTAGGACCTACAGAAAACCTGTTTGTTGGTTGTTTTGTTTTTTCTATCCTCTGTTGTGTCTTCAGGATTTCTCGTCATCTGTGCTCCAGCTGTGGCTTTATTACTCTCAACCTTTTATTTTACTTCACCTTCTGTAGCTCCAAGTTATCTTCAACAGCTCATGGATGTAACGCGCACGATGTCACGATAACAAATTTTGCTGGGCGGTTAGTTGTCTCAGAAATTATTGCGATAAACGATAATATTGTTTGAAATTTGACAATAATTAGTAATTGTTAAATTGAAGAAGAAATGGTGGTTAATTTTTGTGTGTAGTACCTTTTTTCGACCGTCGTATGGCAGTATGACTGTTTGAACCGAAGGATGGATAGTGAGAGAGCAAGCAGCATGTCTCTTTAAGTAAAATGGGAGGGAGGCCCCTTGACGTGACATGGGTTGTCTCTCTTTCCTATTTTTTGGTTCTCAAAATGTCGGACGCTTGGTGTGGTTTGAGCTCTTTAGCATAGCATTTTTCTCACAAAGCTTTTAATAAAAAAATCAGTAAACGAGTTCTCAGCTCCTTTTTGCAGAGAAAAACAACTTTTTACACAAAGACACTGGTTTCAACTGAATTTTGGAGCTTCGACAAGACTGAGGTTTTTTCTCATGGTCGGCCTGTTAGCTTAGCTCGTAGCTTAGCTTCTCAGCTTAGCTTCTCAGCTTAGCTGCTTTTCATGATCCAAAAACGCGATTTTGGACGGTTAAAACTGATTTTAAAGAGAAAGGGAGGGGTCAGTGAAGAACACCGGAGTTTAACTTTTTGTCATCCAGTGTCTTCAGTAGAAAGAGAGAGACGGAGAAACGATGAAGACAATAAATGGTCGATAATTTTCATTTATCATTCGATTAGCTGATTTATTGTTTATTGGGGCAGGCCTACGCGCAGCTAACATTTGTGGTTTTGTTTCCGTCTGTCCAAACGCAGTGCGTGTGAAGGCAGGAAATGTCCACCATGGTGTATCCACGTGAAGAAGCCCTGGAGCGACTGAGCCAGGATGAGATTGTCTTGAACACCAAGGCTGTCATGCAGGGTCTGGAGACTCTGCGTGGCGAGCACGCCCAGCTCCTCAACTCCCTACTGGACTGCACCCAGGCGCCCATCACCCAGGAGAAGTCCGGCCTGCTCCGGAAGAACCTGGAAGACATCGAGCTGGGCCTGGGAGAGGCACAGGTTCACCTGTTTTAAACTATAAGTAAATTATTTTCTGCTCGTTTGCTTTCCTAACCACTTATTTGTCTGGCGCGCTGCAGGTGATCATCGCTCTGTCGAGCCACCTGAGCGCCGTGGAGTCCGAGAAGCAGAAGCTGCGTGCTCAGGTGCGTCGCCTCTGCCAGGAGAACCAGTGGCTGCGGGACGAGCTGGCGGGCACGCAGCACAAGCTGCAGCGTAGCGAGCAGAACGTCGCCCAGCTGGAGGAGGAGAAGAAGCACCTGGAGTTCATGAACCAAATCAAGAAGTTAGACGACGACGTCTCTCCGTCCGAGGAGAAGAATCAGAACTCAGGAGGAGGCGGTGGCAGTGGGACCGGAGGAGGGGACTCTTCAAAGGACAGTCTGGATGATCTGTTCCCCAACGATGACGATCAGGGACCAGGTAGGATCAGCAGAAGGGTTCAGCTCTGACTTTAACAAGATCTAATACGAACAGCTCACAGTGCACCTGCAAAGCTTTTATGTAAACCAGTGTTTCTCCTAGATCACTGGTTTTGGCAGGGCACTTGTCAGATACATTACTAATGCTAGGTTGAAGCCACTTATCCTGTGGCGACCGGTCCTTGGCAGCAATCTCTGCTAGTTAGGCAGGGCGGGGCGCCCTCCTTGGATAATGGTTGGGAAACACTGCAGACCATCACTTATGACCATTAAGTGCACAGCAAGCAGACCAGTGCTGCTTTTACTGAACGTACCGAGTTACAAACACAGGCACTGTTCTCAGGAAGTAGCAGCCTGGAGACCTGACCATCAAGAATCTCTTTAAACCTTCAGGAACAAGTTTTCTTGTAGCTTCAATATAAATGTTTCTTTGTTTAAACAGCAAACTCTCAGTTCATTCATTTGGAGCAGAGGTTGTCTAAATATTCTCTCGGGGAGCTACAAGGACTTCTTTTAGAGGAAATGTAGCTTCTAGTAGAAGTGAAGGTCAGTTGTTTCAGTATCTTCAGATTCTCTTCAGGCAGTTTATTTTTAGTTCATGCTTCTTAGTGTTTCTAAGTTATTGGTTGCTGAATATTTTCCTGTTTAATTTGGTTTATTGACTCTCTTTTTTTTAAGGAAAACCCCCAGGATATATTGAATAATGCAAAATGTATGAAAGTAGAATACCTTGAAAAAAATTGGAAATCAAGGAAAACCTGGAGAATGACTTTCACATTTCCAGACAGAGACAGCTCGGGGAATTTGAACATTGATCTGCTGATGATCTTTTTGAGGTTTATTGTGTACATGTATTAATGTTAGTATCCCTGAGTCCATGTTCTGCTATCTACGGTGTACGGAGTACTGTACATGTATCCTTACTGATTGGCTCTGGTGACTTTTTAGTTTCTGATTTTATACAATATAAATAATTATTAGGAATGATTGCCATATGCAGGTACTATAGGCTACAGCATACTTCCTGTCATCTCTCAATGTGATTGTCTGCCACCTAAGACACGTAAGTTCTGAGCATTTCATGTGATGCAAAAATCTCCTGGAATTTCAGGATTTACGCAAGAAAAAAAATTCAGGGAAACCTGGGAATTTTGTTTTCATGAAATGCTGGGAACTCTGGAATCACATGCAACCTTGCATGCTAAAGTTTTAAACAAATGATGCAATCAGTTAGGACTCAAAGTATTGGTTGGAGATGATCTTCAGCTACTACCACATCAGATTTTATCTGAATATCTACAAATGGACTCAGTTAAACAGCAAAGTCCATGCTCAATAATCCAGGTATACAATCCAACATTTTTCAGTCAGGTCATCTGGACAGTTTCTTTTTTTTTTTTTGTGGTGAAACGTTTCGCCTTCGATCCAGAAGGCTTCATCAGTCAAGGAAACACACAACACAAAACTGACTCTTCCTTCCCCCAACAGCTTACTCTAAAGTGGAACAAACCAGTTTTGTTTGTGATAAAATGGTCTCTTTGGACTAAGTTAAAGTTGTTTCAGGGGTTTCTGCAGTTGGTTAGGTGTGGTGGCCATCTTGAATTGATGTGCATCCATTGTTCAATTCTCAGAGTTTCATGAAAATCATGCCATATTTGAGTCTTGACATATTTTGCTAACACCACAGACAAATGAATGTGCACACAGACTCAAGCACAATCTTCTACCTTTCAAAGGGCTGGGTGACATATAACATATTTGAAAAGGCTCTGCAGATATGGATAAATCTTTTATTATTATTTTGAAGTTCTATTTGTTTCTGATTAAACTTTTCATCATAATCTAATGAACGTTTTAAGTATTTTGAAGCAAACAGAAACACTTTGTCTTCTTAATGAGAATAAAATGAATTAATGTAGATTTGTTAGATAAATGTGGGGTTTTCAAACACAATGAGCTATTGAATTCAATAATCTTATTTTCAACTATCTATCCATCCATCCATTTTCTTTACCCGCTTCTTCCATTTTGGGTCACGGGGGTCGCTGGTGCCCATGTCCATCAATCACTGTGTGAGAGGCGGGTGACACCCTGGACAGGTCTCCAGTCCATCACAGGGACACATGGAGACAAACGAGACAAACAACCATTCACTCTCTCACTCACACCTAGAGACAATTTAGAGTTACCAATCAGCCTAACATGCATGTTTTTGATCTGTGGGAGGAAACCGGAGCACCTGGAGAAAACCCACGCAGCACGGAGAGAACATGCAAACTCCACCCAGAAAGGCCCCCGGATCAGGATTTGGACCGGGGTGACCTGCTCACTGAGAGGCGGCAGCTCTACCAGTTGTGCCACCGTGCCACCCATCTTATTTTCAATATTGATTAAAAATCTGTGATTGTTTTTCTTTGGGTAATCAGACAATCGTAGTAGAGACGACAAATCATCTGGTGTTCAAAATCAAACAGTCGTGACTGTTGACCTGATAATTTGTCAATAATTGTTTTAGTCATTGGAGAGATAACATATCTAAGTGGAATCAAAAGTCCAGATGTTTTCTGGTTTGTAAACGCATCGTCCCTAAGTTGCTAGTTGTGTCTAACAATAATTAATCTTTGCAGCAGAAAATTATTCTGAACAACTCAAACGACTCAGTTTGCTATTTGTTTTCTCTACTGTACTCGAGTGCTAGTCTTTGTCATTCTCATAAGTCTGTTTAAAACTTTGGCATGGAAGGTGGACAGTGATATGTAATCTTTTAAGGAACGCTACTTTCCTTTTGTAATTACCGTAATTTCCGGACTGTTGAGCGCACCTGAATATAAGCCACGCCCCTTTAAAAAAAGGAAAGAAAATGTGTATAAATAGGCCACGCTTGTGTATAAACCGTGTGTCCACGTTGTAACATGAGATATTTACACAGAAAGATTTTTTTAAACTTTTGATTAAATACTTACTGGTAACAAACACAAATATGTACTGTAAATGTTTTTTTTCTGAACAGTGCCTGTAACACGGCTAGTTAAAAACAAAATACAGTAACCTACCGGGAAGTCATTGATCGTGCAAGCATGTGCTCTTCATCCCACAGCTGCCTTTTAAAACAGAGAAGAGGGAAAATAAAGTGTCCCTACTTCCCTGTACTCTCCTCTCCTCCTCGTTTCATTGGTTCATTTCATTGCTCAGATTATTATTATTTTTTTACCTTTTTTACCAGTAGTCTCGTTGAGTCACGAGGACCCAACCCCCAAGAGAAACGTATATTGGGCAACTATGTGAGCACCCAGTTGTGACGAGGCTAAATGTTTTGGAGCATGAAGTTCATTAGCCCATAAACTTTTATTTTTTTAATCCCTAAATTAGCTGCAGTATTGTATAAGCCACCGTGTTCAAAGTACTTGAAAAAAGTAGCAGCTTATAGTCTGGAAATTACGATAATAGTTTCAAGTTTTTCCGTTAGGTTTGGTTTATATAAAGACTTCTGTCCAGTTACAGTAAGGATTATTATTTGTATTTGAGAGAAACTTTTTTACTTTAAAACATTTTGTTCAGAGCACACTTAAATTATTCGTTTTGACCAGAGATTTAAAAACAATGAGTATAGCTCGTTGTAGGATGAAAATCAGAGTTGGTAAATATGGGAATATTATAGGAATGCACATTTTTCAGTTTTTTTAATTTATTTATATCTGCCTTGTTTGATTTTTCTCTTGCAGCCCAGCCCAGTGGAGAGGTGGCGGCCCAGCAGGGGGGCTACGAGATCCCGGCTCGCCTCAGGACGCTGCATAATCTGGTGATCCAGTACGCTTCCCAGGGGAGGTATGAGGTCGCCGTGCCGCTGTGCAAACAAGCCTTGGAGGATCTGGAAAAGACGTCCGGACACGACCATCCTGATGTGGCCACCATGCTCAACATCTTGGCCTTGGTGTATAGGTGGGGCGGCGTTGTTTCTTTAACTGCTTATGTGCTGTAAGACATAAAATGTTAAATTGGAGCTGTTTTTGTTTCTTCCAGAGACCAAAACAAATATAAAGAAGCTGCTCACCTTCTGAACGATGCCCTGGCCATCAGAGAGAAGACTCTGGGGAAGGACCACCCGGCTGTGGCGGCGACCCTCAACAACCTGGCCGTGCTGTACGGCAAGAGGGGCAAATACAAGGAGGCTGAGCCCCTCTGCAAGAGGGCTCTGGAGATCCGAGAGAAGGTGAGGGCCAAAACACGCCACATGCAAGTGTGCTTTTATTTTTGTTTGCATTTTTAATGCAAATGATCATGCAGTCGGGGTTTGTCTTGCAAATGCTCACGGGTTTGTCTCCCCGCCGGGCCCAGGTGCTGGGGAAGTACCACCCAGACGTAGCCAAGCAGCTGAACAACCTGGCCCTGCTGTGCCAGAACCAGGGCAAGTACGACGAGGTGGAGTACTACTACAGACGGGCCCTGGAGATCTACGAGTCTAAACTGGGAGCCGACGACCCAAACGTAGCCAAGACCAAAAATAATCTGGTGGGAGCCTGATGTGGACCGCTCACACAGAACCTGCACTTCACTGTTTTATTTTCTAGAACATGCTGTGAACAAAGTGATGCATGTCTGTTTCCAGGCCACATGCTACCTGAAGCAAGGCAAGTTCAAAGATGCTGAGGTTCTGTACAAAGAGATCCTCACCAGGGCGCACGAGAAGGAGTTTGGATCAGTCAACAGTGAGTTCATCAGTCCTCAGCCATCACTGCTCACAAGATAAACACAAAAATGAAATGCCGTATTTTCTGCCGTACCTGTCGCACCGCCCTATAAGTCGCATCAGTCCAAATATGTCTAAAAAAGTGGAAAAATCCATAAATACGTCGCTTCAGCCAATAAGTTGCAGGGCATGTAAATTATGCAAAAAACTGCAACTTACAGGCTGAAAAATACAGTAAGACCCTGATAAAGTATGAAGTGTTTTTGTTATCACGAGTCACTCAGAGCTCCTGGCTGCATCTTCACTGCAACTCTTGTACATGAGTTACGAAGTTTCTTTATTATTATTTGCTCTTTTCACAGATGACAACAAGCCGATCTGGATGCACGCAGAGGAGAGGGAAGAGAGCAAGGTCGGTTCTTTAGGTTGAAGTTTTATCAGCTTGTTGCTATGCTATACGAGGTCAGCAGGGATTATATAGCATGCTGTTTGATGGGCTCCTATTTTCTATTCGGCTCCTCCAGCCGCCTGCTTGTTTAATTAATTTAGTTTTCTTGTTTTTTCTCAGAGCAAACGCAAGGACTCTGTTTCGTACGTGGAGTATGGCAGCTGGTATAAGGCCTGTAAAGTGGACAGGTGAGTTTCATAAATGATAATTTATCATTTATCTTGATTAAAAGTCCTTACAGAAAGAATTCTTAGCTCAGTTGTGGAGAATGTTTTGGTTGCACATCATCTGAACTCTGATCAGGCTGAAAAACACTCAGGTTTGTTTGTAGTTAAGTAGAAACCTCAAAAGTCTCGGAGCGAGGCTGTGAGCGGTGATCAGCAAAGGTGCTGCTGGAAAGCAGTGAGCAGAGATGCAGGAACGACTCCTCATGGGGAACATACTGTAAATTTACTTTATTTATTTTAACCTTTCAAGCATTCACCCAAGATATTTGCAGAGCTCCTGTTCTGTCCTAAATTATAGAAAATTATGAATCATCGTTTGGTGTTTCCATATTTTGTTTCTTCATTCCAATTTTTACACTTTAACATTACATAAAGTAAAGTCAAATATCTTGTTAACGTATATTTTTTCTGTTTTTATTATATTCTATTTCTTCTTGTTCACGCTTCTAATAAAAATCCTGCAATGCAAATGTAAGACGTTTCAAACTGATGAGGAATAAAAATATACAGAGAGCCTGGCTCTGCTGAAGATTCTCACTAAACAATTTGAGCTTAATTTTCTTTCTCTATGACACTATTTAAGCTTTTCTGTCTGTCATTAACCGACATGATCAAAAAGTAATAGTGACTGAACCAGGATGAAGAGAAACATACATAGAAAAACACAAGACAAAACTACATTTTTCATTGCACTTTTTTTTTTGTTGTTGTAAAGATGTACCGTATTTTCTGGATTATATGTTGCTCCTGAATATAGGTCGCATCAGTCAAAAAATACCTTGTGAAAAGGAACAAAACGAGTTGTTTTGGAGTAAAAGTTGCATCTATTTAGACGTGTATTTCTCAGAGTGCAAGAACAGACATTTAATCTGAACTAACAATAACACAAAGAATATACCTGGGATCCTGAACAGGCTTAATTAACATAAAAAGCCAATGAGTCCAACAAGAAAGTTACTGGTGAATTCACCGATCTTAATCCACATCACCGAATCCATTGAATTCTTCATCCTCTGTGTCGCTTCTGAACAACTCCGGAGGAAGATGGGGCGAGGGGGGATGTTGGCGGCAGAGGAAGAACATATAGTTGTCAAAAGCCCAGAGGACCCTCTCGCGGCTGCAAATGGTAATGTTTACTCTTTGGTTCATGTCAGTTCGGACGAACATTTAATGCGTCTGTCAAAAATAACGTCATGAATAGGAGGAAAAAAGTATATAAGTCGCTTTGGACTATATGTCGCAGGACTGACCTAGCTATGAAAAGAAGTGCGACTTATAGTCCAGAAAATACGGTAAACCTCTGAGGACATAGAGAAGAAACATAATTTTAACATTCTTCTTTCAGTGTTGCAGAAACAAACGGAGGAGATGATTCTTTGAAAATTAAGAGAAAGGGAGTGTGCAAGCTACAATAACTCCTCTAACGTGTAGTTTCACACAAAATTAAAAGAACCCTTGACAAATATGTCGTACAGTAAACCAGCAATATAGGAGAGTTAATTGCTTGTTAACTTTTTTCACATTTAGGCAATGTTCAGAAACAAATTCTGACATCTCGAATGAACTGGTTCACTTGATATGTTCAGGGTTTTCATTTTTTATTTTTGAGGGTATGCCTGCACATACATCTGGACCTGACATCGTGTGTCTGTTCCTCTCAAACTCAGCCGGTCGAAGCAGATGGCCACTTGTCCTGAGCCTGGTTCAGCTGGAGGTTTCTTCCTATTAAAAGGGAGTTTTTCCTTTCTACTGTTGCCTTTGTGCTTGCTCAGGATGAGAGACTGCGACAAAACGAACACTCAACGCGTCTGCTGGCTTCCTTAGATAGATAAATTTACGAACTGGCATTTATAATGTATGTTCCTGTTCAGTGCCCTCAGATGACTTATGTTGTGATTTGGTGCTATATAAATAAACTAAATTGAATTGAATTAATATTGAGGCTTCACGCTATTGATGTAAAAGAAACGAGACTAATAGTTGTTTTTTTTTTATATTTATTTTGAATAGTCCAACTGTGAACACCACCCTGAAAAGCCTGGGAGCGTTGTACCGTCGTCAGGGCAAACTGGAGGCAGCAGAAACTCTGGAGGAGTGTGCCAGCAAGACGCGTAAACAGGTACAGTCCAGCTGGTCTGAAAGACTTGCAGCTGCAGACTTACTGCACTTAGATTAGATGTGCGGGGTTCATCCATTATGTAGCGCGAGCGTTCCAGCTGTGATTTATAATCTCATCAACTGTGCCGGAGTGATTTGGAGCCGAGGGGTTCCTCGTTGTGTTTAAGATCAGGCTCCTGCGGCGTGAGTTGTTAAAGCTGCAACTTTGTCTGTGTGTTCGGTCTCTCAGGGTATCGATGCCATTAACCAGAGTAAGGTGGTGGAGCTGCTGAAAGACGGAGCAGCTGGAGGCGGAGACAGGCGACACAGCAGGGAGGGGGCCAACGGATCGGGGGGACAGCGAGGAGAGAGGGAGGGCGACGACTCCGCTGAGTGGAACGGGGTAACCTGATGGTTTTTCTCAATGCGTCTCAGTTTTAACCTTGATATTAAAAAGTTTCTCTCTCCCCCCCGTCCTTAGGACGGTAATGGCTCCCTGCGTCGCAGCGGCTCCTTTGGGAAGATTCGTGAAGCTCTGAGGAGGAGCAGTGAGATGCTGGTGAAGAAACTGCAGGGCAGCGGACCTCAAGAACCTCGTAACCCGGGGTAACGTTACTTCCTGTGTGGCTTCAGTTATGAGCCAGCTTCTGCCAGTATTTTCTTTATGGTCTCTAAACCAGTTGTAAAGATTCTCCGTGTGTTCAAACCAACCAAACGATTCAAAGCTCAAATATTTAATATTTAAAACTGAATGCAGAGGTTGTTTTACTTTGGAAATGACTGAAATTTTTTTTTTTTTTTTTTTTTTTTTTGTTAATACTGGTTGTTAGAGTTCTTGTGAATTCTTTGGTACTTAATGTATAACGATTAAAAATAGAAACTTGTAAAAAAAACAAATATTTATTTCACTATTCCCACCCTGGTTAAATACAGAGGAGGGTCATGATGAATTCCCCCCCCACACACACACACGGAGTTCTTTAATAACCTCAGAATTCTGAGGAAAAAGGCACAATTTCTCACATTTTCCAAAGAATGTTAAGTTTAAAAAAAATTTTGCTGCAGCCATTATTTATTTTCATAGTTAAACAATAAAACCGTTTTCTGAATTTTTATTTTCGTGGTCCATAAATAACCAGGTGTATACTCAGCAGTGACATCTAGTGGTCATGTTAGAAAACAAAATCAGCTGCACTCACATTGCCTTTCAGGGACTAAACTACATCAGTGCACCCAACTATGAACAGCGTCACTGTTCTCAAAACAGGCCGCGCTAAAAAAGTATATTTCAAACGACTCCAACTAATTTAAACATCCATCATCTTCCGCTTGTTCCAAAGTCAGGTCTCGGGGGCAGCAGCTTGAGCAGGGAGGCCCAGACATCTCTTTCCACAGCCACCTCTTCCAGCTCTTCTGGGAGGACACCAAGGCGTTCCCAGGCCAAACAAAAGACATAGTCTCTCCAATGTGTCCTGGATTTTCCCCAGGGTCTCCTAGCACCTCCCTAGGGAGGTGCCCAGGGAGCATCTTTACCAGATGCCTGAACCAGCTCAACTGGCTCCTTTCGATGTGGAGGAGCAGCGGTTCTACTCAGAGTTTCTCCTGGATAACTGAACTTCTCACCCTGTCTCTAAGGGAGAGTCCAGCTACCCTGTGAAAGAAACATTTCAACCGCCTGTATCCACAATCTCATTTTTTCGGTCTCTATCCAGAGCGCATGACCATAGGTGAGGGTAGGAACATAGACCGACCAGTAAACGGAGAGCTTTGCCTTACAGCTCAGCTCTCTCTTCACCACATCAGACCAGTACAGAGTCCACAATATTGCAGACACAGCACTAATCCGTCTGTCAATCTCACGCTCCATTCTTCCCTCACTCATGAATAAAACCCCAAGATACTTGAACTCCTCCACTTGAACCAGAACCTCACCCTCAATCTGAAGAGATCAATCCACACTTTTCCGGTTGAGGACCATGGCCTCAGATTTGGAGGTGCTGATTCTCATCTCAGCCGCTTCACACTCGGCTGCGAACCGCTCCAGTGAGAGCTGAAGATCACGGCACGATGACGCCAACAGGACCACATCATCTGCACTAAGCAGATATGGAATCCTGAGGACACTGAATCGAAATCCCTCCGCCCGCTGGCTACACTGAGAAATTCTGTCCATAAAAGTTATAAACAGAATCGGTGACAATGGGCATCCTTGGCGGAGTCCAACTCTCACCCTGAAGGGGTCAGACTTACTGCCGGCAATGTGAACCAAACTCTCGCATCTCTTGTATAGAGACTGAACAGCCCATAACAACGTGCCTCCAATCCCATACTCACGGAGCACCCCCTACAGTGTACCCTGAGGAACACAGTCAAACACCTTCTCCAGGTCCACAAAACACATGTAGACTGGATGGGCAAACTCCCATGACCCCTCGAGGACCCTAGTGAGGGTAAAGAGCTGGTCCAGTGTTCCACGGCCAGGACAGAACCCACATTGTTCCTCCTGGATCTGAGGTTCGACCAACGATCGAACTCACTTCTCCAGTAGCCCTGAATAGACCTTACCAGGGAGGCTAAGGAGAGTGATGCCCCTATGATTGGAGCACACCCTCCGGTCCCCCTTTTTGAAGAGGGGAACCACCACCCCAGTCTGCCAATCCAGTGGCACTGCCCCAGATGTCCACGCGACATTGCAAAGGCGTGTCAACCAAGACAGCCCCACAACATCCAGAGCCTTAAGTAAATCAAGGTGAATCTCATCCACCCCCGGAGCCCTGCCACCTCTGAGCTTTTTAACTACCTTGGCGACCTGAGCCACAGTTATGGACGGATCAACCCCAAAGTTCCCAGACTCGGCTTCCTCCATGGAAGACGTGCTGGTGGGATAGAGAAGATCCAAGAAGTATTCCTTCCACCTCCCGACAACATCACTGGTTGAGGTCGACAGCAGCCCACCTTCACTGAACACAGTGTTAGTAAAGTGCTGCTTTCCCCTCCTCTGCCGCCTGATGGTTTACCAGAATCTCCTCGGAGCCGACCGAGAGTCTCTATCCAGGGCTTCACCGAACTCCTCCCACATACGTGCGTTTGCCTCAGCAACAGCCAAGGCTGTTAATTCTAATTTAAACACGATTTTCAAAAATTACAAGTAAATTCCAGCTTGGAGCTGTGATAAATGTGATGTATTTATTGTCTAGTTCAGTCTAACAAGGGTGAGTCAGGTCCTCTGGACAGATTCTTCGTTGTTGAAACAAAGGAGAACCCGTCCAGAGGACCTGACACACATTTGTTACATTCATCTACCTGGATTATTGAGCACGCATCAGGACTTCTAGTTCAATATTTTTACCATGACGGTTCATTACAAATACGTTTGTACTTTTCCACACCTACTGAATAAACTTGCAGGTTTGCAACTTCTCTGATTATTCTTGTTTTTCTCATCAGAGCAGAGTGCGGTGTCAGCAGCTCTGTTGGTGGGGGATAAAGCAAGAAACTAATCAGAACAATAATCTGACATTTGTAGTGAAGCTAAATAAAAAAAGCACAGATGTTTTGTAAAGGAAACACACTTTGTGCTGTTTTTAGTTTGTACTTGAGCTTGTTGAATTATTGCAGAATTGTTATTATTTCTAACGAGTTAAACGTTTCAGAAATAGTTTCTGTTGTTTTAACACTTGGATCTAAAATGATGGTTGTTTGTTTGTTTGTTTTTGCACAGAATGAAGCGAGCTAGCTCCCTGAACTTCCTCAACAAGAGCAACGAGGAAACCACGCAGGTACATTTGATTTCTTCACCACAGGGCGTTAATTAATTCAGGACGAGGACAAAGAGAACAGGAACCTTTTCACCTGTCGTTCTGTAACACGACCCGCTCTGTTTCCTCAGGATGCTAACTCCGGCCTCTCAGACAGCAGAGGACTCAGTGCCAGCAACGTGGACCTGACCAGACGCAGCTCCCTGATTGGCTAAACCAAATCTAGGAGGTGTGGTGTCAGAGGTCCAACCAGGAGCAGCTGTGTGCATCTGGGTTTGATCAAAACACTCCTGCAGCATCTTTCTTCTTCTTCTTCTTCTTTTAAGAACATTAAAACAAAAGGCATCACCACACTTGAAGTCACAATCGCTGCTGCTTCGCTGTACAAACCGCCGCCATCCTTCAGTGACGTGCAGACGCCTTCACAAGCATGTCGCTTACTGGAAAAGTGGAATGTCTGCACCTGAATGCCTCGTGCTTTTGGCTCGCAGGAAGTGGTGCGTTCACATGCAGACGCTTGACTTTCAAAAGGTTTAATTTAACGCGCTCCGTGTTTGGCTTCGGCGAGACGCGTCACACGTTTTTCCACAGGTAGCATGAAGTCGATCCACCGGGGGCAGACATTAAACACGGTCCGATCCGTTTGAGAACAATCACCATTTCAACCTCACTCTCTGCCTTCTCTTTTTTTATGTATATATCATTTTAAATTATTTGACATTTCAGTTTTTGTATATAGCACATTTATTTTTGTTTCCGCTGGGTTTAAGTTGGTCCGAGCTGGAAAAATAAAACACTATTTATGAGAAAGGAGGAGACTGGACATGAAAGAGGGACTGAAACGTGTATAAGGTTTATTTGAGGAATGAAAACGTCAAAAAAATCTAGATAAAATGTTTGACGCTGGAATCCACAGGTGATTTTTCAGAGTTTCAGTCGAATGACGGGAGGCGTTTGTTTTCCAGATGAATGATCTCATCAGCTCGTTGAGTTCTGCAGAAGAAGTTGTAAAAAATGAGCTGCTCTCCTGAGAAAAACACCGTACGAGACCTGTTTTATCAAACTTCACCACCTCAGGTCTAAACAAGATATTTTAAAAGCTGTTTTACAATCAATCAAACAGGAAGTGCAACATAATCACCAAACCATTTTTTAATTATTACTTGAAGCAGCTGCAGAGCGTCGGCTGCAGTTACGTTTACTCATTCAATCAGAGCTCTTTGTATTTTTTTTATATATATTTTCTGCGTATGTGTATCATTTTTGCACAAAACAATCCTCGGTGTCATGTTTTGATTGGTTTTCCACATGGATCATCAGTCCAAACCCTCAGAGCTGAATGACATTCCATTGCTGGACTCAACCTTTTAACTGGATTTTTCCTTGGACTAAGCTTTTATTTTGAAGGTACTGGTTTATCTGGATGTTACTTTGTATGTGGACTGGGAAGTCTCGGGGCATTTTGACATGATTGTTGTAAGAGTTGGGGAGAATAAACCATCAGATGTAACTGATGATTATAAAGTTTCAAAACACTTCAGATAACATCCCAGAAACTTTCCATGGGAAGGTAAGCTAAAGAATTTGGGAAAATTACCAAAATTGGAAATTTTCTATGGTAATTGTAGGAAATTACCTGAAAATCGGAGCTAATTTAAACAAACTTATCATATCCAAGCAAAAATATATGTATATATTTTGTCACAAGAGTTTGACATGAAGTTTATCACAATAACACATGTTATGACATATGTTAAGGGCCAACCTTCAATAATTTAATTCCAGGTTATTCCTCTAAATTCCTGTTAATTCTCATGGAAAATTTCCAACTTGAAAATGTACAGAAAATTACTTCCTCTAGAAATAAAACGACCACTGAGCGCACACATTTTATTGCGCCAAATCAACAGCGGCTCAACTATTTTATTACAAACTTACAGATTCAGGAAAGTCCTAAAAACTGTTTTGTTAAAAGAAGAAAAAGGTGAATGATTTATTCTGAGGGCATTTTGTCAGAGTTGGTGTGTGAATTATGTTGTTGTTGGCAGAACTTTCTTTAAATCCTGTTTATTTTATTTTTTTGTATCAGCTTCTGAATGTTTTGAGCCGACGTTGGATTTTAACGAAGTGAAGTCAGAGGAGTTCAGGAAGTGACCGAAGGAGTAAAACGGACATGAATAAGCAGGTTTTGGAGCCGAGAAAGAAAAGTGCTTTAAGTGTTTGCAGCAAATAATGTACAGTCCTGTTATCTGTGTATAATCTTTCTGTATGTATACGGTTCATCACAAAACCTCAACACCATGTAGCTGTGTATGAAATATCTATGAAACTAATCCGTAGCTGAAGGATCTTTCCAACACACACATACACACACCTGTTGGTAAATGTGAACTATAAGGCCACTATTTTCAAACAAGTTTACTTGGTTCATTATGGGGACACCACTTTCTGCTTACTCTGCAGATGTAGTAACCCTATCAAAAAAGTCTACTTAGAGCCCTATATCGCAGAGCTAACTTAAAAATTTGAATACACACAACACAACCTAAAATATAATGACCTGAATGAATGCAAACTGATAAGGACACAGATAATTAGGTGATAAGTCCCACCTACGACATAAAGACACATTTATAGGGACTAATAGGATATGTAAGGACATTGTCTATACTATTCCAGAAATGTCTGTAATGAGTGCCATAATTACATAAGAAACGGCTTAACAAATACTGCATTAGCAGTTATGTTCATTAAGCAGGCACAAATGACATAAGGACAAGATAAACTTTAGAAATAAAATCACGAAATGAACAGCAGTTACATTAAATTAAAGTTCTGTAAACACCAAACAAAGTATTTATTCAAAAAAATACCTGGACAGGGTTTTTTTATTTTTTATTTTTAGCCTTTATTTATCCAGGTTAGTCTCATTGAGCCACGAGAACTCATTTTCAAGAGAGACCTGTTTTTTTTTTTAGGGAGCACATGGTGGGGGTTAAGGGCCTTGCTCATGGGCCCAGAGTGGGGCGAATGAGGGTGGGGGCAAGTGTGGGTGTTTCACCTACCCCACCCACAATTTTTGATGTTGTCGGGGCCGGGGCGTGAACCGGCGATCTTCGGATCACAAGCCCACCTCTCTAACCTCTGCGCCACCACTCCCCTAGTGTGGTGTGCATTCAGGCAAAATGTCCTTATAGTTATACATTTACACACACACACCCCTCCCCCCCCCACACATTTTATTCCCATACATGTCCATTCTCTCCTGCAGATAACCAGATCAAGATAAGTTTCCTCCATTTAAACTTTTTGCTTTTGTGAGAAAAGGAAATGCTACAGTTTTAAGTCTTTAGCCTGAGCTGCTGTTTCTGAAGGGTTAGAGTCAGTCCTGTAGCTGTTGGGGGGCACGGGGGGGGGGGGGGGGGGGGGGGGGGTGTTGTAGTGTTCAAGCTCTTGTGAATGTATACGATTTCCTACACTGCAAACAACTCGACCCACCTTTCAAAGGTTCAATAAAGTAAGATTCCACTTTCCAAATGGTTTTGGTCTCTTTTCATTCATATTTCTACTGACAGTAGTGTTTTGTTTTGTTTGTGAATCAACAGCAACTGTTTAAACCATTTCAAAGTGTGTGCGTGTGTGTGTGTGTGTGAGTTTATGTTACTTTTCACAGCTTTAGCTGGTGGGGGGTGTTAACCCAACGCTGCATCAACGCAGCGTTCGTATGGGTGAGTACTTCCTGTCTCATGAACAGCCGAGCACCACCAAGATGAAACCAAACCCACCAGACTTCATGAAGAGGATCTGCAGAACCATGATGGACTGATCAGCAGATAGACCAACCTCGGACCAGGATAAACGCTGGAGCATGAATGAAGCAGGAACAGAAAGTAAGATAACTTCTGAGATGCTGCTGGCTTGTTTTATTTTCAGTTTTAGGAAAGAAAGTTTCAGTTCCTGTCCGAGTGTTATGTTTCTGAAAGAAGTTTGTGTAAAGTGGTTAGAAAAAGTTTTTTCACAGAACAGAAGTCACTAAAAAGAAAAGGGATGCTTAAAATAAATTAACTAATGAACTGTAAACAGAGATGTCCAAACACAGTTCCACAGTCAAGTCACATTTATTTATATATAGCACATTTAAAAACAGTAACTGTTATCAAAGTGCTTACCAAAAAAGATCACAGCATCAAATATTACTAAGATATTACAGCAACGTGAATAACCAAAATAGGGAATTTTTCCTAGCCGAGGGCCAAAATGAAAAAAAAATTGAACTCGTTTTTTATTGTCAAATATTTCACTAGAAATAGGAATGGCCCTAATATGTTAATTAAAATAAAAAAAAATTATTGATTCAAGATGCATCAGCGTTCATTTCTTAGGGGTCAGTAACTATTTTAATAATTTTCACAAGTTTACATAACGTACGCTTTATGTAGATTTTTGATTTCATAAATCGCAGATGAAGCCTTCCATGTCTCATTTAGATGTGAGCTTTGAGAAATAAATCGGGTCGAGCGAAGCCAAGAGTTCTGGAGCAGAGCTCTGCTGAACTGAAGCTGAGTGATGCCATAAATGTGTGTCGGACGTCTCCCTTGTGTCACTTACTATAATGTGTTAACTCACTTTAGCCATACTGTTTGTGGTTTAACTAGAAAATTGCTGTGTCCTCATCAATATTCCCTCGGCAATAAATCTGTTAATTGTTGTTTATTCGCAGCTGGTCATCAGTTCATCACATAACTACGCTGCAGCTCTATAGATCTTATTTATTTATTTATTTTCCTCACGCGTCCAGAAAATTTTGAATAAAGTAGATGCCATTTCCTGCATTCTGGTGTATTTTAATGGGCTGTTTAACATTTAGTTTTGCCTACATAAGTAACACTTGATTCAGTAACTATTATAGAGTTAATGGCATAACAAGAAGTAACCTGACCAACAGCTCTCCTTGAGTGAATAGAGCACATTCCGCTTCTCTCATGCTTCCTAGCCAGTTGTAGGGTCAAGAGACAAACATGTAGCATTAACACAGTATGAACAACATTCAGAAATTGTTTCTATAAGAACATTATCAAATATTTTACATGAACGGTAAGATTGCTTCGCCCACGAGGAAATGTAACACAGGTTGAACTAACCTCGGACAAACAAGATAGCTGTAATGTTGGAGGTAGTGAAGCTCATGGTGTTGCCTCAAGCATTTAGTGAGGCATTTATGCCTTATCAGCCAAAATAAAAAAGACAGGAAAAAAATAAAATAAATTCTAAGCTAAGAATAACTTGAACTAATTACTGCACTAGATGTTTTCATGCCACAGAGCGACACAGGGTAAGAACTCAGTGAAATTCAATATGTAAGCGTGTAAATTTTGCATACACAATCTATTAAACACTTTTTACAAAATCAGTTTAGTTTTAACAAAGACTAAACTTACGCAACCAGGTTACCACATATATCTACATATAAAACACAAAACAAAGCACAACTAGTATCCTGATGCATGCTCAATAATCCAGATAGAAAAATCTAAAAACGTTAAATCTGGTCCTCTGGACATTCAAAAAACCAAAACAAACAAAAAAAATTGTAGAAACGTTTCTTCTCTCATCCGAAAGACTTCCTCAGTCTGAGGTGCTGTATTCAGCTCAGTCTTATAAATAGTACATTTTCAGAGTGGATCAACCAGTTTGCTGCTGACAACCAAAACCAGCTGCTCACATAGTCAAGAAGGACCATCAGCCTAACAATGGATCATTAGCACACTGATGGCTGTTTACTACTCACAAAGGGCTGAGTGATATTAGCAATCATAGCATTGTAAGAGGGGGACAATTGAACCCGGAGGCCTCCACCCCTGTTTAATGATGGACGGTTTCTTTTCACAAAGATGGCCTCCTTTACTCCTCTCTCAAACCATCGTTCCTCTCTGTCCAGGATGTGAACATCTTCATCCCTGAAAGAGTGACCTCTGGCCTGGAGATGAATGTAGACCTCAGAGTCCTGGCCTGATGATGTTGATCTTCTGTGCTGGTCCATCCTTTTGGCCAGTGGCTGTTTAGTTTCCCAAATGTAAGACTGATCACAGCCCTCCTGACACTGAACAGCATACACAACATTACTCTGTTTGTGCCAGGGGACTGGATCTTTGGGATGAACCAGTCTTTGCCGTAATGTATTTTGGGG